TCCAGGCTCTCCCGTGCCACGACTGCCAGCGCCAGCGATGCAGAAGGTGCCCGAGGAGCTCTGGAGGACTCATGATCTGTTTGCATTTCAGTTCCTTTCCAGAAACCTTGGATGCGGGCGACAACTCCCCCTCTTCTTTCTCCACACAACAGTCTCCACACATTAAGACAGTCAGTGAGAGCGAGCTGAGCACGACAGCGACAGAGCTGCTCCAGGACTATATGATGACGGTAGGGTGTCCTTGCGGTGCAGGACAGGGCAGAAGGGTTTTCTTCCGTTTAGGGTGTTCGAGTGCTTTTGGGATTTGGGTTCATTGCCTCGGCATGTAGAACGTGAGCACGTCCTGGTGTCGGAACATCTCATCCGCCTCCTTTTTTGTACCAATTGTGCTTGGAGGCCTCGTGGGACCTGAACGCGGGCTCACGTCCTTCTGTTGCCAGAGCATCCCCACCCCCTTGTCCCCTCTCGCCACATAAAGGCATGGCACGCCATCCACGGCACGCCAGGTCCGTCACTTCATGAGTCACGGTCCCTGCGTATGCTCACAGCTTGTCCCTGTTTGAAAGCTGCCAGCTCCGTCGTGGGTTGTACCAGCCTCTCCTGCTTTTCCATTGGGATGAGCTGGTTCATTGCTGCAGCTCTTATTAAATAGCAGTAAATCCGGTACATGCCTGGTTCCCAGGCTTCCCATCATCTCTTCCTCCTAAAAAAAAAAAAAAATCAGTGAGGTTTGTGGCGTGCTTCTCTTCCGCAGCTCCGAACGAAACTCTCTTCCCAAGAGATCCAGCAGTTCGCAATGCTCCTGCACGAGTATCGCAACGGGGCTTCAATCCATGAATTCTGCATCAACTTGAAGCAGCTCTATGGGGACAGCAGAAAGTTCCTGCTCTTAGGTGAGTGTCAGCAGCCAGAGATTCCCCACGGATGACCGACTGGGGGGTGCGAGCAGGCGTCTGTCTGCTCCTGAGCCCTCGTGATTTGCCTGGTACCAATGGTTGACGCCCATGGGCAGTCTGATGGGATTTCAGGGATTAAAGGGGTAGACCTGGATGGCACAAAGATTCCTTGGAGTGTCACCAAGCAAGGAGCAACATCTCAATCTGTCTCTCCTTTGGAGATCCCTCTTTCCTGAGGGTCCATCTAGCTCAAGCTCCCCCAGCTCGGAGCCTTGCGTCACCCCTCGAGATGTTCACCTCTGCCTCCTGACTGCAAAGGGAGCCTGGGTACCTCCTCCAGCCCCGACACCCGGCTTTTCTCTGCCCGCTGGTAGCAAGAGAGTAGTAGCTGGTAGCAAGAATGACACCAGGCCATTCTGGTGTTGGATGTGCCATTCATCCGGGCGGATCGAACCCTGCCGGGGACTTCACACTCCGGAAGGGAAGGTGTGCACCCTGGCAGGGGAACACGATCCTTTCTTTCCCCTTCATTAAAAGGAGACCGAGCGCCTCAGGGACTCTTCGAGTCCCTCCTGCTCAAATTCCCTCCCTGCTTTGATTTTTTTTTTTTGGCTTTAATAAACTGAAAGAGCGGCGGGCCGAAAGGGAGATGCCTGGTGTCGCTGAAAAGCAACGCCTTGAGTTTTCAGCCTCTTTTAAAAGCAAGAGCTGCTGGAAGCACTGGAGGTTGCTCACTGGAGTCGGCGTGCTCTCGGCAAGCGCTCTCTCTCCCCAGCCGTCTTCTCTTTCCTTTGTCCTGGGGCTCCAGCAGCGCAGCCGAGTGCCTCCGCCAGCACAAAGGC